AAATATATTTAATATTTGAAAGAAAGTGTATAAAATTTCCAGTTTGATTGTATTGACAAAATATAGACAAACTAATGAAGTTTATTGTTTTTATAATACCTCATTGTATATAGCATTCAAACAACACGTCCTTATACACTTAAAGTATTAATATTTTTGATTCTCTAGAAATTGTTTAGAATATACCGATATACATATATATATATATATATATATATATATATATATATAAGTTATTTTTTCGAATGTTATAGTTTTAATTCTAAAACTTTTCCTTATATTGTAACTTTCTTTTAGCTGTATGATGAGACACATCTCGAAGTATAAAGTAGTAAGTTTAGTCTCGAAACGTATAAAAAAATTTAAAGTAAACTTTTCTACATTCGCCGCATTGGCTGTTCTATTCAACTCAATATATATATATATATAAAAATTTATCTGTTTGCGTGTGTATTTACGTATATATATAGTGTGTTAACAATAAGGCAAACTTAACTTGCTTGTGTTTGATAATAGTTTTGGACATCGATTAAAAGACATGCTTGTGAATTTCATCAATCCGTACTGAAAACCGTCGTAACAGAACGATGTCGTTGACGGAATTTCGCCCTTGAACTACAATAGGCATAGTGCCACCACCTATCGCTAGTTTGTTCCTCATAAATGAGTCATCGACACTTATTGTTGGTTCATATACAAAACTGTGACTATAAACGCGTTTCATTATTTATCATTAGTACATATTATTATCGATGATTAACCATAGTGTAAAAAAATTATTCCATTTGTTGAGAACAATAGAAAATTGCAGTTAAATAAGCATATTATTTAGCGTGCCACAATCGAACAAAAATTTAGGATCATCGCTTGAACATATAAAACATTCATCTTATGTAAGTATGTATTTTTATTTACTAATACATATGTACAGGGCCGATCCTGGGATCCTCAGCGTAATTTTAATTTTTTTTATCAGTTCTTTTTAAAATACTTTATAATAATTCTGGCGATTCGCAGGTTACTCATAATCAAATTGTCGTGTCTTTTTTGTTGAACCGAACTATTTTTAAATTCTTATCTTCTATCCAAGCTTTTTAGGACATACAACTAGCAGTAAGTAGAATTCTGTCTTAAGGCAATTAAGGCATCGTGCCTTAAGGCAAATTGCTGCAACTTCCCGTACCAAACATTATTATTTTTTTAAAAGCGATTAATATTTTTGAAAAAATTTTACTTCGAAAAAATTAGATTTTTGAGAAACAAAAAAAATAGTTTGAAAAAAAAGTTTTCTTTATTTTGGCATAGTTTGGAAATTCTGAACTTTTTTTTAAAGCAATCGTACTGCTTTAACTGCATAGAGACGAAATGTCAAAGCGCGTAAGTGCCGCGTCGCTGTCTATCGGATAAACATTGGTACGGAACCCATAGGAATGTAAACAAAATTCATACTTATTGTCAAAATCTCTATAAAATATCTGATAATTTGATGTGCATATGTCTATTGATCATTTTTGACCGCCAAATGGCATTTTGTTTTACTTTTTTCATTAGATCTCCGAAACCGCTAGGCCTGCCTTCATGAAAATTTGATCAATTCTTCATCTTGTCAATACAAGTAAAATGTTTTTTGAATTTCTAAAATCGGACCCTCCGTTCTCTTAAAAACCGTGTTACCGTTTTTGGCACTTTTTGCCCCGTATCTTCGGAACGGCTTTTTAAATTATTTAAATCGGTAGATCGGTGTTCTCGAAATCGTCGACGAAAATTTGTATCCGAACACACACACGCACACACATACATCCATTTTTTCTAAGGTATGCCAAAATATTCAGAAATCTTTGAAACGTCGAGAAATGCAAAAATTTTCATTTTCGATTTTTTTGCGATTACTATAACTTACCCTACGGGATGTTAAAAATTTCAGTAAGTTCAGTATATTGTTTGCAAGAATATTTTCAAATTTTCAATTGTTTTTTAATGTTTTAAAACATTTTACTTATTTATTTTGAAGGTTTAATGCAATTCATTCTATTGAGCAAATCATCCCAAAAGAAAATTCTGGCCTTTCATTATTAAACATAATACTCATACTTCATGTCGGATTTTTTTAAATTTAATTTTTCATTATTTAAAATACCCAAAAGTGCATGCTAAAATTCTCCTAATTCTTATCATAAGGGCCGAATTACATGTATTCATCTTTACTTTCCCATGGTGTATCAGATTGTTGTTTTAAAGTTAAATTTTGAACATATTACAAAAGTACTGTCCGAAAATTAGTAAAATATGCATATATTTCTTGAATGGTATTGAAAAAAACTATATTAAAAATTTCATATTCTAATCTCGTGTTGGCGCCCCCTAAGGCGTGCGCCCGCATTTTTCGCATGCATCGCATTTAAGGTAGTACCGGTAGTATATATATATATATATATATATATATATATATATATATATATTGTAGAGCTTCGAACAAAGAATCCAAAAAGTAATAAGAAACAGAAGTTTTTTAAAAAACCATTTCTTTATTTATTTAGTTTAAATCTTTTTAAGTGAAAAAGTGTTAGTGTACAATTTTTTTTAACATTTTTAATATTTTGTTATATAATCCACTCATTTATTTTTATCATTTTCATTTTGATTATATGGTCATATTTCTGTACATTATCTTTTCCACAATTTTATTCATTTTATATAAAAAATCCACGATCTTCTGCTTTTCTTAAACATATTGTTTGTTTAAATCTTATCAAGATCATATTTCGACGGATGTCCTAAAGATGAAACGTGCCTAGTTCCGAAACGTAGATAGTAAATAAATAAAGAAATGTTTTTTTAAAAAACTTTTTTGTTTCTTATTGCTTTTTGGATTATTTGTTCGAAGCTCTACAAAATATTTACGAATCCAAGACTCTACCATATAATATATTATATATATACTCGGAACTCGAAAAACACTCATATATGAAAAAACCGTGTAACTCGAAAAAATCACTCTTATATGGAAAAACCGTGCTAAATAAAAATCATTATAAAAAAGCCATTTGTGTCAGTTTTTAATATGATGAATAACAAACACATTGTCCAAAATTAAATATATAATATAGAACACATTTATTAAATTAGTTATAGCCTCTACATTCATAGAAAATAAAATAAATAAATAAAAATATTAAAGATAAAAATTAGCAACATCTATTAAATTATTCTTTCATTACTACGGAGACGGTATAAAATTTCAATTTTGCTTTGTAGATAGATAAGATATAAACTTTTCTTTTACTCTCTAACTTTTTATTTTTATATTTTGCCATTGTCAAACTATAAGATTTTTTGTTAAAAAATATAGATTTTGTAAAAACATAATTCTGTTATTTGCTCACTTTGATTAAAGTCACACTATCAATTACATATAAAAATTGATTAAAATAAAGTTTAAAAACAATGATGCTCTTTGTTTTGGTATTTCAAAGAAACTTGCTTATACACACAAAATTTGATCTGATCTACATATTTCCATCATAGACAGGTATTAAGAATTCGTAACAAAAATTTATTCTAATTGTAAGAAAAATTTGAAAAGCATTATTTCAAAAACTGTTAAGGCGTTGAATGAATACACCCTACAACTGCCTTTGCCGTTATTACTGTTTAGAAAAATTAATTACTCCACTTTTAAATATTTGTGTACACTGTAATTATTAGAAGAATGAAAAACAACAATAGACATAGAAATAGAAAAATTTTATTAAATGGTTGAGTAATTTTTACGCGCCAGGATTGATGTGCCTGGTATCGCGACTAACTGAATACTAAAATTATAAAATTAACTCTTTCGACTCGGATGCCGCCGCTCCGGCGGCAAAATTCATATAAATCTCGGAATTCGCTGGTGGAAAGTGTTAAAAATGTAATATAAAAATTATTAAAACTGCCTGGAAGGGGAAATTCACAAATATACTAATACAACTATAAAATTAGAAAAATTTCTATAATTCGTTTAATACGAATGGTTGCAATAAATTTTGTTCATTTCTTTGAAAAAGTAAATGGATTTAAAACCAAGATAAAATTTGATGCAATAATCAGTATCCTTTCGTATTGAAAAGAATTTATAATAATAATAGAATTGAAAAATACGAATTTACTTAAGGCTATTTTAGAAAGAATACTATGCACTAATATCCGGTGCCTATATAAAGTAAATAATATTGTCATTATATAAATATTTAAAACAAATTCTTAATAAAATTGATAATAAACATATTTCAAAAGAATCCTTAACAAAAACAGTGTAGGACCGAAAACGTGCAAAACGAGTACTGTGTAAAACGGGGTATAGGTGTATATTACATTTATATAAGTTTAAATCATATTTCCAAGTGTCTTTATAAAATTTCTGATTTACAGTATATTCATATAGTAATCTAGCTAGACATAAGTACTTCCAAGTTAATTCTAATATATAAGAATACTATAGGAATGAGTCATACAGAAGGTATTGGCAACATTTTAAAAATGCATTATAAAGTAATTGTAATCTGTATATTGCATATAATATATATATATATATATATATATATATATATAATATTATATATGAGCAAGATAACATTGCATATAGTAAATATCGGTAATCAAGATTTTATTGCAAGTGGAATTATTAGTGATAATTTTATCATTGGTTATTTCATCATATTTTTGTATGCTAATTATTGTTCGTATATTTTTCTTGCAAGTTAACAGTAGAATTATCATGCAACTTGCCTATAGACAATATGCCATCCACTCCTGATTAATTATAACATTATAAAGCAAATAATTCAAAACTTTATACGTACAACATTTGGAATCATATGTCGAACATGTCTGTTCGACACATGAAAATTAATTTTACAATTAAACTTTCGACAAAAGCACGAGAAGAGAAAAATACTTATAACTAAACGAAAATGTAAATGAAATCGAATTCGAAGTATATAAAAAAATATAACGCTCACCTCATTTGCATAGCACTCCTTTAGCATTTCAAAAACACCGTTACAAAAATTTTAGATACAAATTACTATTCAAATACTAGGAATTTCAAATTTTGATCACTACTTATTCGTCATGATGTTCACTATACACTAAAACCTAAAGACATGATTATAAATGAAACTTGTGAATTTTTTTTAAAAAAAAAGAACAAACATTTCCCGGAACGATAATGATGGGTTTGATTCGGACTACTTGGATAATTTTCGTTCAGCAACTATGATTCAACTTGAATCTCATATTAACGTTATTCATATTAACGTGACTAGATTCGTGGCTAGAATCATCAGAACAAACAGCAAGCTGTGCAACACGCCGTATAGCGTGGCTCATACTAAATAAAACAATTCCAAAACAAGTTCTCATCCCCATATATCTTTATATGGGCAACGACATGAACGTGAGCGCCTCCGCACGCGCTCCATTACACCGCTTTGACGAATAACTAACGATTCTATCCGGCGCCTTCAAACTATTACAATATTACAATTTCGGCAACAAGAAAATATGTAGCACTGCCAATGTCTTTTTTACTGATCAGTCAATGGAATTGCTGACGACAGTGCTCATTCAGACATAATAAGAATTAAGCCTCAGTGTAGCCGGCTATTCGACTACGCACGGGGCACGGACCACGACTGTCAACTAGTTTGTAAATAAACAAGAAAATGTATGCGCAAGTCGTATTCAAATCACTGCTTGCAGATGTCGCTACTCATATATTTTTCGATTATTAGATAAAGTAGTGGTGCATGGCATCGTGCCTTCAGGCAAATTGCCGGAACTTCCCGTACCGAAAATTAAAATTTTTAAAAAAGCTTCAAATTTTTTTGAGAATTTTGAAATTTTTGAAAATATTTGTCATTTTTTTTAAATATCGATTTCTTTTTTATTTTTTTTAATTATCTTCCCGTACAGTAATGGACCGAAAATCGAAAATGTAAACTTTTGCATATCCTCACGTTTTGAAGGTTTCTGAACATTTTGGCATACCTCATAAATCAGAAAAAATGGATGTGTGTGTGTGTGTCCGCATTCTTTCGTCCACGTTTTCGGGCGCACGGATCAACCGATTTGAAAGGTTCAAAAAACATTCGATTCCTATTGATAGGGTGTTTTTAGTTTTTGGCAAAGGCATGTCTAGCTGTTACGGAGATACGGAGCAAAGAGTGCAGAAAATACAAATCGAGTTTTTAAGAGAACGGAGTATCCGATTTGAATGATCTAAAAAACATTCAATTAGTAATGATTGGGAGAAGAGGTGATTAGTTTTTGGCAAAGGCAGGTCCAGCCATTTCAAAGATACAGAGCTAAATATGCAGAAAATGGCAGTTTTTGGGAGAACTAAGCGTCCGATTTAAATGATTCAAACAACTTTCTGCAACAAAATAATTGCTTTTGGATTTTTTTTTTTTTTTTGAAAATAATTCAGATTTCAATTTTAATTCTGACTAAAGTTCTAATATACTTTAAACAAATAATTTCAACTTTACAATTAAGTTTACGATATGTATAATATTTGAATTTAATATTCCCCGAACATTTCTTTACGGTGCGGCGTGCGGGAAGCAATTTGTCTTAAGGCAAGATGCCATACACCACAAGTTTTAAATTATTTTTTAGATTCTGAACTTTTTTTCAAAACGTGGTGCGTCAGCTGCGCGTAAGTCTAACAGATTAGCACTGGTACGGAACCCATAGAAATGTAAAGTTATCTGATAATTTGATGTGCATATGTCTAATGATCATTTCTGTCTGCCAAATAACTTATATATTTACTTATAAAATATATATCTTTTCCTTTTTTTATTGCATCATATGACCATGGAAAGACAAATGCTGCTTTAACTGCACAAAGAATGAATCTTCCTTAACAAATCAGTATCAATTCATCTTGATCAATTTATTGACAAATGTATTTTCCACATTATTTTAGATATAAGCTTTAGGATATGTGATATAAATAAAACTAGATAAATAGTACTTATTTTTTTTAATATTATATATTTAGTTATTAGAAATAAATACAAAACTAAACAATAGAAATCATAACTTATTACACTTAATGTATTTATAAATTACTGTAATAAAAGCAAAACTTAAATTAATCTTGCAACAACATCAATAATTTACGATCTTATATTCTTTACATATATTTTTTATATATAATATAATAAATAATACTATCATCTAGAAGCATTCACTATTGTGTAATATTTTTCCTATTTAAACAATAAATCAACAAAAATCACATCAATAAAGTTTTTTTATGAATAATTTCAACAAATCCATGACTTTAAGAATGATTCTACTGACTTTCTTCGGGTTCCTTTTCTGTAATATTAAAGTCGCTTGGCAATGTTATACAATCTTCTACAATAGTTTTTGCAAGATCGACAGTTTGCGTGCACTGTGACTTTGGTATAGGCAAAGATGATGGCCTAGAAATTTTGGTTACAAATCCAGCTTGATCATCCTAAAAAAAATCAGAGATGATACTTGTTTGATTAATGATATTGTTTCTTTTTCATAATTCGTTGTTGATTTTTTTTTGTTAATTTTGATGAAATTTTGTATATCGATACAATTCATTGTCTTAATGAACATACCCAAATATTATAGGGTTATGAAAACTGGTTTAACTATAAAATGAAACTAGTTGGTATTGGTATTTTGCCTTGAGGCTAGTTACATAAACTTCCCGATATACTTTTAATTATTCATAAATTAATTTATATTTTATTGATTAATTCGGTTGTTTACACAAATCGCTAAGTTCATGTAACTTGCCTCAAGGCAAAATACCAATACCTACTAGTTTATATTATTATCCAACCAGCAACTTATTGGTATACACTAGTGATGTGCCAAGTCGATTCAAGTGATTCGAATCATTGGAATCAAGCCTTTAACGACCTGATTCGAATCAGATTTTATTTGATTCGAATTAACTCGTATCAAGCAGCAAAATATTTAGTGTGATAAAATATGTATGAACACAAATTTTCATAAATATAAAAAAATATTTTAATTAAATTCAATATTATAATAATATAAAATAATAATAATATAAATAACATAAAAATAAATATTGAATTAAATCATGCGAGCCACCCGACATCAATACGCTTAAATGTATCACCCGACATCAATCGACTTTATATGACTTCAACCGCATTAATCGACAAACTATATCTTCCGACTCCATACGACTTCATATGACTCAAACCGAATCATTCGACTCCAAGCGGCTCGAGCGATATGACTTGAAGCGACTTCGGAACAGATACAATGCGTCATCATTCTTGCGTGTTTTGTTCATGAAATATCAATACCCAATTTTGATAATAATTAGGTGTTTTAGATTTTAAATGTTATCAGAATAAATCACTCGAAATTATGAAACGAGTTTCGGGAATCTTTCAATATAATACTCTTTTGAAACAATTCGACACCAGAAAGCCAATAAATTATATTCAACTTCTGATTATGTAAGTAATGGCAAATTCACATTAATGAAATTAACTTTCAGCGCTCAGTTTAGATGCGATCCTTTACTGATTACATAGTAAAATAAACAATTGACCCATGATTTCAAATATTATTTTATATGCTTTAGTGATGCACAATTGTTTGGTAATCCTTTATTGTAAATTAATTTGAAGATATGCTTCAACAAAATTAAATCATTCTTAATAATTTACAGAATATACTTTTTGATAGTAATTTTTGTTTACAATTTTTACTTTGTCGGTAATAGTGGTTAAACTAACACTTTTTATTATAAATTCATGATTTTTTTATCCATATATAAAGTTGATTCGATTTGATTCAAGTCATGATTCGAACACATGTCCAAAAGTTCATGCAACTTGCCTTAAGACAAAATGCCACCTTTATTTAGTTTCATGTAATAATTTTTTAAATGGAGTGAAAGATAACTTTTATAACGAATTACAAATCATATTTACACATGAGGATGTTCTGTACCTGTGGTGTATATACAGCAGTAACATCTGTTTGTGTTGAAGTATCTTCTGTATTTATTGACTTTGTAAAAAATCCAGGCATTGTTTGACATAGTTTTCCCATATAGTTCATGACTTCCGTCATTGACTTCTGTAGCTCTTTCACCTGCACAAATAGAAAATCAGGGTGGAATTATGAAAATGCATTGTGCAAAAAAAAAATTGTAATTTGCCTGTTGCTGCAAATGATTGCATGTAATTTGAAGATCCTTGATATTCTTATTTGAGATCATAAAATCCTGATTATCAGATTGACCAATCTCCTGTAGATTTTGATTATTTTGTGATGTGTTAATACCATTATTTACATCTCCTAAAATACAGGTAAAGTCACAATAAACAATATATTATTTTATGTAATTTTTCTTTACTTATTTCAGAATTATACATACTTACAAAGTTTAAGGTGCATAAATATCCATGCATCTAAATCATGTACATGAAATACAAGATACACTACTGGTATAAGAAAGAAAATTTATATAAAGAATTGTTACACCAACTAATAAGAAATGTATTTAAAATAATCAACATCTCCTTATTAGAAGAAAATTATTAATAATCTAAATTATAAAATTTTAAGAAAAAACATGAAATTGTTCCAAATTGAAAACAAGAGATTGAAAAATAAAATCTATTAAATAACCATATTTTGAGTTTTAATTAAGTTTATGAAATAATAAATTAAACTCAAATATATAATAAAATATAATAATATTTATTAGAATATTGTAGCTGCAAAATTTTGAGTATTATAATTATATTGATAATTAATACCATTGCATGTTGATATATGCAAAACTTTCTTCCACAAGGCAGAGATAGCTTGCATCTGCAATTGCTGTATTTTTTTCTCACTTTCCAAAGCTGACTTTGTTGCAGCCATGTCGGATGTTAGTTGCCTGTAATAAATTAGGATTCAGTACTCAGTAGTATTTCAAAATGTCATGTAATATAAAAATGTTTTGAGTTGAGCAATGCACTCATATGAGAAAATAATTTAAAGTTGATACTCTCTATATTCTACAAAGCAAATGGCGCAAAATATTACTAATATCAAAACTAACAAATTTCTAGAAAAAAACATTATTAGTATGTACGTAAAAAATTTTAATAAATACAATTTTATTGTAATGTGTATAAGTTTATTAGAAATTGTAACCCAATATTCAATATGATCTCTATTAAATGCTTGCATAATCAACAATTTTCTCATATTAAATGAATGTTGGTCGTAATAAGTACTTTAGGTGTTCTGTCATTCTCGTTTCATTTAATTTATGAGTCATATTCTTGAACTTCTCTGAATTACGTATCCTATATCCTCTCCACAACTTTTGAATAATAATGGCATATTGATTCAATCCATCTGGATTTGAGTTATTGGAAATGTTTATACTTTCATTTAGTTGATTTTTCTTTTGTTGCCTAAAATGAAACATAATATTAAATCCAACAAAAAGAAAGAAAGCAAAATTTTGTATTCAAATAAATCTGGGAAATATGAAGTTTCAAATCAAATTATAATAAATAAACTTAAAAAAAATAATATATGAACTGAATGTTTTTATGTCATCACTAATATGTATATGTATATATGAGCAAGTTCTTATAGGCGATACATTAAAGAAAAAAACTAAAGATTTATAATTATATATATATATATATATAAATTTTATAAAGGCAGTACTCACATAAACTTACTAGAATAAAACTAACACATAATAATAACAAATAACAAGTAAATAATTGTAAATTGGAATAATAATTACTTCAATTATTAATATTTAATAAATATTATATATTATCAATTAATATTTAATATACATTACAAACATTCTTTTAAAAAAATATTTTATAAAATAGTGACTGCTGACTGACTGACTGTTTTTTATTGCAATTTATAATTTATAACTTAGTTTTATTGTATAATATAACTCAGTTTTATTGTGATAAGTTCATGTAAGTAGTGTCTTTGTAAGATTTTAATTTAAGACATTGATACCGTTCATTTAGTTATATTCTATTTTCTTAGTTTATTTATATATTTAATTTTTAATTTTGCTTTTTTTACTTCCAAATTGTATACCCACTGATGATGAATTTTACGTCAAAACATATGAAACAATAAAGATGTTGTAAGAATGAAATTTTTTTACTTGATGTTGCGCCCTCCAAAAATTTATTCATACATTTGAACATCAAATTTAACTACTCTTAACACACACACCGATATATATATATATATATATATATGTATATATATATATATATATATATATATTGTGATAAGGTTTTTCAGCCACAAGTCGAAAAAAAAAACAGAACGTACATATAAAATATTGATGTTTTAATTGTCAAATTTTATATAAAATAATTTTAAACTGGTTTGCTAAATGATGAGCTAGTACAATAGCTCGAAAAGTAATAAAGAAGATTTATATTTATGTTCTGTTTTTATTTTTTTTGACTTGTGGCTGAAAAACTTTATCACAATATGTTTCAAAGTCAAAATAAACAATATCAAGATATATATATATATATATATATATATATATATATATATGCTTCCTTCTACTTGTATACATTACACACAGAATAATCCTTTTAACTTCCCAGTAATTATACGTAAATTATACGTAAATTATACTAATATAGTTGAATTAGATGACTAATTGTACGTACATAAGCTGAGCCTTTTTCTTGATGCCTTGAAGTTTTTCTGTATTTACTATCAAATTTTCTTCACCAGGAGCAGACTGAAATAGATTATCTAATAGTTAACAAAATATGTGAACAAATGCTACTGATATACTAAATTAATTAAAAAACCAAACTATAGAAAAAATTAAATTTTTTGTAAATTAAATTATTTATTATTACTATGTAATATTGTAAATATATTTAAAAAAAATAAAATTTGACTATTTTTAAGCTATCGCTTTTTAAAGTGTATATTTACAATATCGTGATATCCTTTTTTACCACAAAACATAGCACAAGTTAGACATTATAATAACAAAATCACAAGATAGCTATCCTTCATACGTCATCATATTCAATTGTCTATAACTAAATTTTTGTGCGATTGTGTCTTGATCAATCTGCTGCTTCTATTAAATTGTAAGTAAAGCTTATATTCTATGACTTTTTATAAATAATTAAATATAAGTTCACTAATTAATAATAAGATAGGTTCCAAAGCCGGGAAACCAGATAGTTTTCATATTTATGCAGCCAGTGAAAAAAAAGTTTATCCACAAATATTGCAAAATTAAACTTTTATGAAATTTATTCTTTGATATGTTTAACCCTAATGTGGCACAGCAAAATGAGGCAGGGATTCTATTATGTGTGTATATATATATATATATATATATATATATATATATATATATATATGCACATCATACACATTACCTCATTATTACTCTGCATTTTAGATTTACGTTGTCTATTTGGTGATGTCATATTTTTGTTGGTGGTTTGAGCTTTTGTCAACTGAAATTTATTGCTACGTACAACTTTTGGTGAACCTACAATTAGAAAAAAAAAGTTAATTATATGTATTATGTCATATCATATAAGCAAATAAATTTTGTATGAAAATAAATTTAGATAAATTTCTTTAGACAATTGATCGGTTTTGATTAATTTTGGCATAATAAAAAAATTGTGCTTTATATTAAAGCATAATATAAAAATATATTTACATTTTGGAGAGTTTGAAGTTCTTGGAATACTGGATTTAGCAATTTGATTACTGGTGCTATTATTAGAAATTACTTGAGGTGGTAATGTGCTTTGTGGCATAGTAGTATTTTTTATATATATTTCTGGGTGAACATCAGGACTCATTAATGATTCTGGAACCGGAACCAATTTTTTTGCTGCATGTAAGGGACTACTGAGATCTGAAAATATTTTGAAGATGCATGTTCAAATAAAAATCATCTAAAAAATGTCAAACAAAAAACACATTAAAATAAATACAATATCTAAATAAATTACCATTTGAAAGATCATGGTTATTTTGACTAGATTTTTCTATGTTTTTTATTTTTTCTTTTTCTGGTCCAGTTATACTTGGAGTTCTCACATTTAATGCAGAGTCCAAACTCTGAGTCATTATATTATTCTTACCATCTATAATATTGGCTAATAATTTATTATCATCAATATTAGAATCATGATAGCTATTGGTCATAACACTAGATGCTTGAGAATGAGTTAATGATCTTGAATCTGAAACACATAATCAAAATCTAATTTAGCTTGTTCTATAATAAAAAATAAAATAAATGCCTATTTCTATGATTTTCTCATGCAAATGCTCAATAAAAAAAAAACACAATTTAAAAGTATAAAGCACTCACGACTTGGATGTGGTGAACCTAACTTGCTATTCATTCGTCTTGATGATCCTGGAGATGAGTACACACTTAAACTTCCTACAATGAATCATGACATTTTATCAAAATAAAAATAAAATGTAAAGAAATAATATTTTTTATGTAAATGTTAAATTTCTTGAAACATTTTTTTCTATCTATATTTATTTTCTAAATTCTCCTATGAAACATTTTAGTCCCAATAAACCATTAGTGTTCATATTCTAAATAGATTTTTCTTAATAAATGTATAAGGTACCTGTGCCACTGGACACCTGCTCCCTCATGAGTTGCTGTTGATGTTGTTGAGCCTTACTTAATATTAGTCTTAATTTTCTATTATTCTCTGTTTCAAGTGCTTGCTCAGTTATTGGGCAAGTAACTGCTAAATATTTACATAAACTTTGTTGTTCACCTATCGCAAACTGTCTGCCTCGTCCTTGGCTGTATAACCATTCAGCTTTTAAACTAGAACACAAAATTTTCATGAAAATTATCATTCTAAGATAAACAGCATAAAAATAGAAATAATCAATCAAAAAATAATAATTATAAAGCACAAAGCATTGAAGATATTGTAAACTTAAATAACATCATAAAAAAACAAAATATATTAAATTTATGATGTGGCACAATCATTTAATTTGGTATCAGATCATTTAAAATTCAAAATAAAACATTATGAATTTTACCTTTCAATTGGTGTCACCATGTATCCATCAATAACTTTCAGACTAATTATCCAATTAATTATGAACGGTCGATAATCAAAACCACTAAGAAAACAATAGGAAAATAGTTAATTTTAAACAGCCCTATCAATGGTTAAAAACACTCATAAAGAATCCCGATACAACAATGAGAAGCAAATATTTATATTAATTATGAATATAAATCAGAGTGGTTATTGCAATTTTGTTAGTAAGGTACATGTACCATACCAGGGATGTTAAGGAAGGTTTGACTTCATAAAAAAGTAGGAAAGTGAACAAGCTAAAACTGTTTTATTCTATAAATTAGACTTATAAAATCATTATAGAACAAAATTTGGCGGCATAGAATTTCATTTATAGAAATAATCAGCATTTTGCTGAACTATGAGTTTGTTCCTGCTTTCTTATTTTGCGATCAAAATGAAAAACTCCTGGAATAATGTACTATCCCGGAATAGTGTACATTTACCTTATAGCACACATTTTGAATATTAATATTTTTATAACTTAGCATCAACACATGTTATTTATACATATTATATTAATTTTTATGCATGCTGCAGATAGTTTTACATATATTTATGATCAACAAACAAAATATTAAGTCATATGAATTATGAAAGGATACAAGCTGCCCCCAGTCATGGTAACACATGGGTTGCCTTCAATGGTCAGTTCAACCAAATTACACAACATTAAAAGATGGCTTATTTCATTCAAGTCACCCAAACTATTATTAGCAAGTGTCAATGTTGTTAATGAAACTGGTAGATATTTATCACATTGTCTCAAATGAACTATTCTATTACCATGAACAAATAGTTGCTACAATAAAAATTAATTTGCAATAAAAGCAGTACACTTGTAGTTTAAGGTATATGCAACCATCCAACCATGCAATATATTTTAGAAATTTGAATAATGTTTCAAATGGCTCATGCAAACCTTGCTAAATATCATTATTTCATAAGGTATATAATTTATTCAACTAATCATAGTTGTCATATACAAAATAAAAATATATTATTGTAATACATATTAATCGATATTATGAGTTATGTAAAATTTTCATCGATTGTAATAATTAGCAAAATAATCAATGTACATTGGGAAAACTGTAACATGTAGAGTATAAACCTGTAGATCATAATAAAAGCAAGCACTCCGTTTTGTATTATAAATTAATATTATAAATGAACACAGTAGAAGATAAAACAGAGTGTTTAAAAAAAGATGAACAAGACTATCATAATATTAAAATAAAAATGTTATTTTCATAAATATTTCATGAGAATTCAATGAAAAGTTCAATGAAAGAAATCAATTAAATCATCAAAGATATTGAATTACATATATACAAAAATTAAGTAGTTAACAGTTACAAACCTGTAAATTTTTCATATATGAGAGATCATTTATACATGTGATGTTATTATGAGATAAATCCAAGTATTCCAGGTTAATATTTGACTGCAAATGTTCTATTGTTTTGATCTTGTTATGAGATAAGTTTAGATAATTCAAATGTATAAGATCTCTTAGTCCTTCAATTGTCAAAATGCTATTATTTGAAAGTTCAAGTATTCTCAAATTGCTTAAACGGCAAACTCCATACATACGTAATAACTGATTATGTTTAACAGATAACTAAAAAAAGATCATTATTTCTGTTATATTATATCAATGTAATAAATGTATTATATAATGCACAGAAAGAAATGAAAAATAGAAAAATATTTTAGTTATTTATATCAAAATGATGGAATATGAGTATTACTCACACAAATATTATATTTAAAATAAAATTATAATAATTTGACTAGATGCTACATTAGCTTAACCGCCAAAAATTATAGTGTGAGCACAATTTAAATTTAATTTTATCTACTTAAATGTTTATAAACATAAGCATATAAACTTTGTACCAAAACAAAATGAAACACAAATAGTACACAAACAAATAACATATAGAAGACATATAGTAAATATATTTATGTTGCTACGTGTTAGGTCTCTGGTAAAATATAAATTCCAAAATCATTACATTACATTTATGATTGCTTAAGCAAAATATTTCCTTTAAAACCATGATTTAAATTTCTAGATTTCTATAAAGCATACAAAGCATACTTAAAGCAAAATATTTTATACTCATCGAATTGGATTATATCGCATTCATATTTAAAAATTAGAATAAAAATAATAAAAACTCTGTTTAGCCCTTTAGAGTTCAGGTGTAAAAATGAAACATTTACCAGAAATTTGTAATGCATACCCTTTCAACTTTAATGTAGGAATCAATATTATCCAGCTTCTGCAACTCATTATTATCCAAAATTAAAGATTTCGTAACGCGACACTCGTCGCTGTTCGCTTTTGTTAGTTTCTTTAATGCCTGTGATGACAAATCCACTTCGTCTGCGCATTGTACTAATTATAAAATAAATAAAATATCAGTAACTAAAGATTAAATATAAGAAAAAAATGTCAGAAACTCACACATTTTGAATATCTAATTACATTAGCAATGATTATAAACACATACAATATAGTACAAAATATTATAACACTTAAAAACACAAATGCATAATTAATTTATTACTACAATGCATTTAGAAAATATATAAATATCAAAAACATTACAATATTTACTGTTTTGCACAATACGATTGTATTTGACATTAGCAATACTAACATGCGAAGGTTGGTATTGGTAAATGTATAGGCTCTTCTATTATCTATGGGCGGCAGAGCCATACAGTGTTTATGCTTATTTATCTATGGAGCCATAAACTATTTATCTATGCTTATTTATTAGCCTTGCGCCGAATATTCGGTTACTATTCGTTATTCGGCATATTCGGCATCATAAATAAGCACCTTTTTTGATATTCAGCTGAACACCAAATAGTAACTTACTATTCGGCCGAATACCGAATGGTTAAAATCAAAGCAGCCGCCTCATTTCAGGTATATAAGTTGGCTTTAGAACTTTAGCTAGAATTAAACTTAAAATCCGAATTATTTTCGATATTAAAATAAAAATATTTTTATGAAATTAAGAAAAAAAAAAAAAAAAATATGTTTCTTTCCCAAAATCAATCGTTCCGTGAACGCAAGCAGAAAGTTTTTTGAATCATTCAAATCGGATGCTCATTCAAATTAGATACTCCGTTCTCCCAAAAATTTCTATTTTCGGCAGTATTTGCTCCGAATCTCAGCAGATCTTCCTATCAATATAGAAATCAAATGTTTTATGAATCATTCAAATCGGTTGACCCGTGCGCTTGAAAACGTGGACGAAAAATTGTATCCATACACGCACACACATACATTTTTTCTAAGGTATGCCAAAATGTTCGGAAACCTTCAAAACGTGAAGCTATGCAAATATTTTCAATTTTGATTTTTGGACGATTACAATAACTTACCCTATGGGAAGTTAAATACATGTTTTTTTCTGGTAGTATAAAACTTCTTTTTTTATCATACACAAATATATTATCGTAAGTTTAAGTGTTTAACAATCATAGATAAAGTATGAACAATTTAGTAATAGATAATAATAACTAATTGTAAGAATAAAACAGTGTTACAAGAAAACTCGTACTATAAACAATATTGTATATATTATAAAACTTACTGAAATAAAAATATTGAATTAAAAAAATAAGAAAAAACTGTAATTATCACCAAATATACGGTTATACATATTTTTTTATTCATACTGGCATATTGACTATGGCTATTATACTTAGCATATAGGTTTGAAAAAAAGTGTATTTCACAAAAAAAAAATAATGAGCGCCATGTTACACGCAAGACACATTTGGCAATTATTATAAGTTTGCTTTCCCTTCAAATTTCAAGACATTCGATTTTTATAATACATGGCTGAAATTATATATTTTATCTAGCATGATGGTAGCCTGAAGAGATTCAGTTATTTATAGTTTGCATTTAAATTAATAAACATACTATTATCCACCTCCAATTCTTTATTCTAAGATCCCACTTAAATTAATAGATATGAACCCACATATATATGAAAATAAATGTGTTTCGATGCATATAATAAAGATCATGAAAATCACATAGCAATATATATTTGACAATATAAAAATAAAACCTAGTTCATAAATGAAATTATATACACGTTTCACCAATAAAATTCAAGTTTATATAGTACCTAGATCTACATAATAGTACAAAATATGTCAATGTGTAACAATTTAAAATGGAATTAAGTGCCAATAAAAAATCTAAATTGGTATAAAAGGTTCATAATCAAACAAATCTGCATAATTTTAAATGCAAAATAATTTTTCAAATGACCATATATTGAAATATTGGAATAAGGGCCTCAACAAAATTATTACTAAATATCATTTACATCTCCATGTGAAAGTAAGTAAACAAGGTAAATACAGATACAAGTACATCTGTAATTGGATTGTTGCAATGATTTTCAATTACAATTTTTGCAAATGAAAGAAATGTTTCATTCATGTTAGTTTTTCTAAATCTAAGATAGTAGATTCAATGACTACCTGCAAACTACAAACTATTTATAGATTAATTTTCAAACACAAATCACAGAAGATATTCACTAAGTCCACAATATTTGTAAAACCGACATATACAAAATCAGATCAATTTATAAAATGGTATAAGCGGCTGAGTGTTATAAAGCTTATTTCAATATAAAAACAAAATAATATTCGTTCATTATTTGCTAATTAATCTAAATGAATATAAAATAAAAAAATAAATAAATAATGATAATATTAAAGTGAAATGTAAACAAATGTATTATAAATAGAAAATGAAAATGACTAAATGTTATAATAGATCGTACTGGTTAGAGTATTATAAAAAAATATAACTTTCTTTAAATTTGATGTAAAATATTAAATTTATGAAATTATAAATGTTGATGTAAAACTATGCACGCTAGGGTAATAAATTTTCACTACTAGAACTTAGGTTGGGTAAAGATTTGAAAACAGTATTCAACCTTTCATAATTATCTTTCCCTTTTTGGTCTAGCGATAAAATTGATCTCTTAGTATTGTTTGATTTTAAATCCAGATCCATAATTTGCTTAATAGTTAATTGTAAAATATCTGTTTTACTATTGCTACTTATTAATTCCGTCTTGGTTTCTTTTTTTACAACTATATCATGAATATTCTTGACCCCATCACAGATTTTTGCATTGTCGATACTTGTGCCTAATGCACCATCAACGCAATCTTTAACACCAACTCCTAAAAAATTTGTTATATTAAGATTCTGTAATAGCTTTGTATCTGAATAACGACGATTAGAATTAGCTTTTTCTACAATTTTTTTATCTAAATAGAGAGTAGAATGTCGAAATTCATTATCTACAATTCGAGATTCTCCCAAAATATCACGATTTTCTAAAAATACAGATGTTGTGCTCTTTGTTTCCATATTATGTAACTTTGAATTATCTTTAATATTTTCGATGCAAGAATCATTTTCACCAGACTCACTATCATCATTATTTTGCAAGGTTCTGCCTTGATTATTTGGATTGTTTTCTATATTTGCAACAACTTGACCAAAATTAAACCTTTGAGGAACGCCTTGCTGCCTTGAGGTTGCCCCTGTTACATTTTTTACCAGGACTGGAGAAGGAGACATTATATGTACCTTTTCTGGAGCATTTTGAATCAACAGAATCCTAAAAAAAAATTAACATCTATAAACAGACTGCATTCTATAAAAGTAAAAAGTTTTAGATATTATCGTCATATTTATAAATTTTATTTATAAAAAAGCCATTGGAATAAATTCGATAAGGAAGAGCCGCGGTTAGGTTTGCTAAAAGATCCGCCATGCCATTAGAAATTAGAAATCGCTTTGAAATTAGCAAAAAAGCAAGTGAGCAGTCTACAAAACTTATCAGTTGTTTAAAAAGTGTTACCTTAAATAATATCAAAAACTATGTACATGATATATGCAATTGTGCCAGAAATTTCTTATAGCAGATGCTTAATATTTCACAAAATAATTTAAAAAAAAAATTGTTTCAACGTTTTTCATGAAATTTAACATGTCAATTAAGTTCACACACTATGAAAATGACTTGAATTTTATAAATAAAATAAAATTTTAAATAACAAGCTACAATTGTAGGACATAAAAGCACGTGTCTGCATTTGCATTTCTGAATCCAGCCCTGGGTGAACAATTCAGTAACTTAATTTAAAACTTATTATTTGCCAAGGCTTTTGATATAAAACTCAAAATTGCAATAATTGACATGCTTAAATTACAAGAAATGTATCATCTATAATTGTATAAATGTATCACCTATAATGTCACTACCTGTTATGGGACCTCCATCTGTTACACAGGTGCAAATATTGTCGACATTGTATATACATAAATACAGCACCGCCAGTAAATCCCACAGCTACTACAACTAACTTAGTCCAAAATGGCCAAGCTGTAAATTAGATTATAAATTTATTTACTATTTCATTCAAGCATGTGTTTGTAAAGTTGGTAAGATTGTCGTTGCATATTAGATTCGAATTATCATAAATTTGAATGATTTAGTATAAATACATAAAACTATTCTACCAGGTAAAAAAGTTACAGTTGCATAGTTTATCAATGTATTTTAAATAAAAGAAAATCATTATACAAAGATTTGTACCTATAAGCCCTCTTTGAACTTCTTCAGCGGCTCTATCAATTAAAACAAATAATGACCAAATAACACAAAGAGCAGCTACACAATGAAACAACACTGCACAGCATAAACGTCTTCGTTCAACACCAGACATTTCCAATCTTCTCCACTAAAAATTATTTCTAGATCAGTAACCAAATATGAAGTGCATACTACAACATAAAAATGTACAAACTTCATTGAAAGGCTTGATTTTAGTATGCATGATGAATGGGAATTTGCACAATTCACAACTGCGCATGTCACTAGCCGTAAGCCACTGCTGAAGACACGTCTGATGAACATATTTGAGACTGCCTAAAATAAAAATAAATTAGTCATTCAAATTTTGCTCTTGCAGGCCTAAATACAATAGACATATACAGTAGATACCAGGATTTACTAAAATGTAATGTTAGTAAAATTTTAATAGTTTAAAGACAAAAAATTGTATTGAATATCAATAAATAATTAACTCAAGCAATTCAGAAAAAATATATTTTATTATGTTCTGTGTATTTTTAATTGAATTTTACTCACAATGTATCAAGACAAACGATATGGTCATTGAAAAAGTTGTCAAAATAGCATGATGCACAATAGATATCAATTAATGTAATTAAAAATAAAAGTAATGTATAAAATTCGAACAACATAGTCAAGAAATAAATTGATATGATTCAATAATATTCCTATTCTAATTTCATATTATTGTCATTTTAAATAAAAAATGAATATTGAAAATGTATTTACGAACAATTACTTCAACATCCAATTACAAATTAAGAGTATATTATACAAATAAAACTATTACAATTAAAAAACTATTACAATTAAATAATTAAATAATTATTTGCTATTGATGATTTGAGAGAGACTAGGTGGTTAAGTAGACCCATAACATTTCTGGACATATTTATACCATATAATGTCTGTCGCTTTGCAAAGCAACTGAGTATGAGAGGAAATATTACAATTTGTTATAAAATGTACCAATTTTCACTAACACTCAACACTTATCATAATGGTTGTGAATTCAATTAATCATTTACCAGAGCAGTAACAAGGAGCCAATAGAGGATTTAACGTATCGCTTTCGCAGTGACAGATCCTACAAATATCTCCGCTCGAGCAACTTTGACTTGCCTGGCTGCTTCCTGAGCCTAATCGTGCATTTTGATGATCGTTTGCAGCACAAGGCACCATACCCCATTCCCCATATTCAACATCGCATCTATGTTTCCCTAAGTTCTGCGGAATGGGCATTTTCAAATAATGTCTTAAGCTTTTCAGTGAAATAATGCATCGCATGTAACACTACTTCTACATACGATGCGTAAAAGAGATAAAATAGATTCTATAACATATAAAATATCAATTTCTATGATTGCACAATACACGCTGCAGAATTATGCTTCAAGTGAAAAGGGTATCAAAACAAAACAAATGAAATGAAATATGTCACAGACTTGCCATTATCAGTTACACCAATAGGGAAACGAGCTACAGCTACATCATCGAAGATATGTAAAAAGAGGCAAAGCCTACATTCAAACCAGCGCCACGATTGACGAAGTTTAGAAATCATGTCTAATTCAATCTTCTTTTATCTATGAATTCAATATTGAGGAAAATCCATGGAAAATCATACATCGTAAAAAAAACTTGAGTGGCATTTTGCCTTAATGTACATAAATTTATGCACACAGATTTCATATTATTCTGATGAATATTTTCAAAGTTACACGCGAATTTGAATAGGAAAACACGGCTGAAATGGAAGAAAGTATACTTTAGTTAACTATAGTTAGTGATCCGGTGAAATTTTTTAAAAAACAACAGAAAAGCTTAGTTACATGTAACTAAGCTGTTTAGTATTACATTCTGAATTTTATAACAGTGTGTAATTTCGGAATATGAGAAAATTGTTGCGACCGATTCGAAAACTGTGAAAATCGCTGCATACATAGCACTCGGCATAATTGATAAAGAAATGAAATTACTATTGAATTATATTAAGGCAATATAAATTGCAATTTAGACTCAATATGCATTCATGTGTCAAAAAAAAGATAATCACCGCAAGATAATTTCAGATAGTCGAGCGCGAGAGAGCACCCGAGATAACAGAATGGTTCGCAGACAACACCAGCTTGAGTTATTATAAGTTTCCGAATCCGTGGAGGGTCGGTTGAAAAAAAATTCTATTCCATGTAATTTGCTTTCCAAACTTTAAACGCTTCTTTCCCGAAATGGTGTTTTCAAAGTCGGTAACCAACATTACTCCAAAACGGCTAAACCGATTAGTCTCAAATTTAACACGATCTTCTTAAATACATTTTTTACTAATTAATCGAAGATTTTTCTGATCCGATAAATTTTTATAAACAATTTAAGGTCAAAATTTTGTCAAAAAAAAACATTTTTTTTAAGAAACCATCATTTTGTCAAAAGATATTATTTTGCTTGTTCATTCGATTATTTACTAGATCATTACTTTAATGAAACTTTAATGAAAACCTCTTTGGTTTTTTAATTTCAGATGATTTAGTTCAGAGATAGCATGGTCAACGCAAAACGTGTTTTTCGAGAGGTGCTTTCGGAGATCTACTATAACTTTTTTTGTAATAAATATTTTTGCTTACGATTATTTTTAAAATATAGTTAAAAGATGCCTTTATATGTGTATAAATTATTAGTATCAATAGATTGAATAGTTTTTTTCTGAAAAAATTCTCAAAAAATCGCTTTTTTGGCCTTTTAACTGTATATAACTCCTTAAGGAAAGTTGCATGTTGCATAAACTTTCCGATATGTGTAAATAATCGATTTAATTAATAAATATTTGTTTTGTATATAATCTTAAGTGTATAATTATAAGCTTAAGTGACTACCCGTCTAAGTGTCTGTCAACTTGACTACTTATGTACAGCCATTTACCTGCCTACCAGTAGATCTGCCCCTACTCTGCTTTTATCTATGGATCTGCCCTATCTGCTGGACCATGTCTGGATCTATACTTGTCTAAGTATAGTTTTGCAAGTGTAATCAACTTTGTACTCCGTTTCCTTATCCATGATTCCGCCAATACAAGTAAAGGTGCTGTTTATTTAAATCATATAGTAGATTATGAGTATTAATAGATTTACTAGATATAAAGGAATTCTTTATGAAAATCAATTAACAAATCCATTCTTTGAAGCTAATTTTGAGCCAAATCACTCTGATAACTTAATATTAAAAACTATTTCATTAACTTACCATAGGGTAAGTAATAGTAATCACAAAAAAAAATCAAAAATGAAAATTTTTATATATCTTTACGTTTTGTACATTTTGGCATACCTTAGAAAAAATGAATGAATGTGTGTGTGCGGATACAAGTTTTCGTCGAGGATTTCGGGAACATGGTTTAACCAATTTTTCAAAAAACATTCGATTGCTGTTGATAAGGAAACGTGCTGATTAGTTTTTGGCACAGGCAGGTCTAGCCGTTTCGATATTTCATCTCTATGCAGTTAAAGCAGTACGATTGCTTTGAAAACAAGTTCAGAACTTTCAAAATATTTCAAAATAAAGACAACATATTTTTTCAAAAAGTCCTTTTTCCAAAAAAATATTTTTTTTTCAAAAAATTATAGTTTCTCAAAAATCTAATTTTTTCAAAAAAATAATTTTTGGTACGGGAAGTTCCAGCAATTTGCCTTAAGGCACGATGCCATGCGCCCCACTAGTAATCAAATATTTTCACGAAGCAATTAATAATGTTGCTCATGGCTGCTCAGTGCTCATGCAAAATTACCGTGTGTGCCAACACTCGTACCCCGAATGGGATGTTGTCTTTTGACAGTTCTCTTGTTTCATATCTTTGACAGGCTTTGACAGTAGTAAACACTAAACAGTGCATTGTGCTTTAAAGAGTTTTTTGTTTAATCTGTATTATTCAGCATGTCTATAAATTTTCCTCCTTGTCCAAATACATTAAAATCAATTCAGCAATATTTAAAAATTGCTTCGGAACATGATACGAGAGACGTAGTTGTAAGTTATTGGTGTCGCCTGTATGGGCTGCAAATCGGTATGAAATTGACAGCCAATAAATCTCAAGAAGAAACTGCTTTATTATTGGCATTAATGGATTGGTTAGAAACCTGCAAAAAGCAAAACGCTGACAATGAAGCAGTTACTAACGAAGTGGCTGCACAAGCTCATTTAGAAAACTATGCTTTAAAGTTATTTTTATATGCCGATAAACAAGATAGAGCTGCAAATTTTGGGAAGTGAGTACTTACTGTACTTATATGTAATATTTCATACCATTTTAGTTAAACCTTATGTTCAATATAATAAGTATATATTAAATAAGTTTTCAATAAAAGCTTATCATAATCATTTTTTTCAACAATTATTAATAAATAAATGAAATATGAACAAGATTTCATTTTTATGTCAGGAATGTTGTCAAAGCATTTTATACAGCTGGTGTAATATTTGATGTTCTGAGTGTTTTTGGTGAACTAACAGAAGAAGTATTACAAAATCGAAAATATGCTAAGTGGAAAGCAGCATATATACATACATGTTTGAAAAATGGTGAAACACCTGTACCAGGTAAATGGAGATGAATGCGTAATAACTATAAAATAGTGTAAATAAAATGTAAAAACATTTCAATATAGGCCCTGTATCTTCTGATTCTGATGGCATTGATCAAGAGTCTGCGGAGCCAGGCCCATCTACTTTACCTATTGCAGGTATGAATTAGTTTTTCTAAAAATGATAATAATATATATATATATATATATATATATATGTATATATTATATATTTATATATATATATATATATATATATATATTAGGTTCCACAACACCACCAGTTTCTAATACTACACCACAGGAGGAAAACATTGGAGGTTTTAAAGCGTTTGAGGAACCAGTTCAACAGCAGGATACTAATAATCGAGAAGTATGTATATTAATCTTAATTTTGTGATTTATCCTTATATATAAAACCTCTCTATTTTGATAGACTGCAAGTCTTACACCTGATCAAATAACCAAAGCACAAAAATATTGTAAATGGGCCAGCTCAGCTTTAAGCTATGATGATATTAAAACAGCAGTTGTAAATTTACAAAAGGCACTTACATTGCTTCAAACTGGAAGTGATTGCGATTAAATAAAATTTTCACCGAATTAAAAAGAAAATATTGTTATAAAAAATAATATATATTTTACGTTATATATAAAATAAATGCATAAACATTTAATTATAGTTAATATGTGACACATGTATGCCAGTATTTGCAAGCAACTGTTTTATTTTTAACAATACTAACATGCTTGCTTAAATAAAAAAATTCAAATAGAATAAAGTTGTTTTCACATGCATATTTTACTGATAAAATTCCTCTTTAGAATTACTAATAAATTTATTGTTTCATTGCATTAAAAATTTCTGTTAATTAAATTATATTAGATGAAATACATATTTGAAAAAGCAATACAATCGTATTGCAATATCAATGCTAATTGTGATCACAAAATAAACATTAAAGCTAGAAAAATTTAAGTTATATGTAACAATAGCAGTAAAAAAAAAGAGTGCGCGAATGGTTAACATCCGATTGAAGTAAAACTTATTTGCTACTGTACAAGATGGCTTTAAGTAAAAATAAATACATCATATAACAATTTTGAATAATGTTTATTAGTAATATGGTAACACTCGTGATGCACACATTTATTAGTGTCAACCATTATACACATTTATATAATAATAAATTATAAAATATCTATTTATAATAGCATTAAAATATGTATAATATTTAAAAACAATAATGTAATTGAAGTCATACTTCAGATATGACATGATCGGTTTGTCATTGTAATTAGCATTTAGAAATGAACCTTCATTAGAGAAATGAAGTAATTGCTGATTAATGAATTCTATAATATTCCTTCACACAGTGAATTATGTTAAACAACGCCTAACTAAATATTGTTTTTGCAACTTCATTCATCATGTAATTGTGCTTGAAGAACTTTATGTAATTAAAATTAACATACATTTATTGACTGCTTGTATCTTTTTTACTTTTTAGCTGGCAATATAATCTCATTCTTTGAACAGGTAATATCTGTCTTGCCTAAAAAATATTTTCCATTTTAATAACTTCAAAGATTTATAAAAACTACGAATAATATAGAAATAATTTCTAACTAATAAACTTACGTTTAGTACACGGCACAAATATTTAATTTATTTATTATTAACAAGAAACAGGGTAAAATATTCTTCTGATTCAGGCATTTTTCATTAAATCAAGATTTGTACTGCGATGTAACTTTAAAATGTTTATTTATCTATGCGAGTTTCCTTGTTGATATCGACACGCATACAACTTTGATGCCGGTATGCATACAACGACAGATCTCTATTCACATACACGACAACTAATCACAATCGACCCGTATTGAAATGATCTCATCGATAACGAATGACGAACAGTAACGAACTTCCGTTGCATTTGTACGGATGTACACTCCAGTCGCGCTTAAAGAAGTTTTACTTCAAAAATCGAAATAAAGAAAGAATTACTTCAAAATGTTATTACTGCCTATTCAATCAAAAAGGATAAGAGAAAGAAATTTAAAGCAACTAAAGCCCCAATAGTCTGACAGATCTCACTGTTTAAATATAAAATGTTAGAGAAGTCATGGTTATGATTTACCTATAAAATAGTTATTTAATGAAATCTTATTATAAATTAAATTTCATAATGATTTATTTTAAATTACTTGAAAATTGTTACCGCGGTATAAAAGAGTCCGCGGGATAAAATCCATCCAAAAACAATAAATGATCGTTTTGGCATTCTACAATCGGTTAAATCGACTATTCGAATATTCGAATATTCTTTCAAAATATTTATTGTCGAATATTCCTTTCAAGAAGGAAAGATACGAGAAATTTGCCTGGTTCTGTTGTATGATAACTGGACCCGGACAACCTGACATCGTGAGGTGAGTCATTACATTTGACGTTAATAGGAGTAGTGCGTGCAAGCGGCCTAAGCTTGCATTCAAAAGTGCAAACTATACACGATGCAAACCAAACCGATGCTGTGGCTGTGGTAAACATTTCTGTACGTTAAATACATAGACAGCAGTCGTATATAGGGTAGTTATACCGCTCAAAAGTATGAGGTTTAAACAAACAGGGCTTGATAGCTCAACGTGGTTTTAATATATTCGGAAGTCAAGTGATATTACTTCAACGATACTTTTTGGTGATAAATCTTTCAGAAGTTGATTAAATATAAACACTATATGTATGAGCAATTTTTTAGAGCAACTTCGATCAAATTGTACTGTATATTCTCACTATGTCGATGAAAATATTTGTCTACTTGTGAAACTTCATAGATTGTCGTTTTTTTCGTAGTACTATTTTTTTTTGTTGAACATCTGCTTCGAAGTTTTCTCAGCGAAGTTTAGAGTTTGACCCATTTCTTTGTGACATGGCGGAAGAAGTCGATTCTAACAAATGTCAAAGGTATGGAAAATTCATACAAAGTGTCATTTTTATTTCACATGCTTTCTATCTTTGTTATAGTCCTGAAGAGCCCTTACATTCTTATATGCAGTCCTTGCAACTATCATCGCAGGATGGAAAAGATGAAGAATCAAAGGAGTCATCAAAAATGGTACTAAGAAAGAAAGTTAGACCCCTCAATGGTTTAAAACGTAGAGTAAAGACTGAACCGAAAAAAATTAAAATAGATCTCAGTGATGAAGAACGCTTGAAAATTTTCTATACAAGTGCAAACAAAAATTTCAAAAAACCTCATAGCACATGTCTAGAAACAATATTTGAGGAGCCACATAGCAATGCTGATAAAATAATATACATTGGTGGCAGAAAAATAAGAAGATCATTAAATTTAGAATCTAGTAGTGTATTGAATGGGAAAATAAAAAAACGAAAGGCTAAAATAAAGAAGTTTTTCGGAAAGCTAAATCGTTTTAAAGGTGTATCTCAAGAGCAATTGCTATTAAATTTGTCATCATTGGATGGAAAGGAAGAATGACATTTTATAACTTAACGAATATTTAATTGTATCCTATACTAATAATATAATATTTTTACATTCAAATTTGTTTTTGTACCTGAATCCTGAATGCTTTTGTACAAAACTTCATCAAATACTCACTACTCTTAAGTTAAAAAGAAACTTGAAAGCATTCCATTGTCAAATTCTAAAAAAATAAAATTATAACTAAGTAGAGTTTTTATGTATGATTTAGGGTATTAATGCAATATGTGTTAGTCCTCTCTTGAAATTATAAGTAATTCCTGTTTTTTCACCATGGCATCAAATCAAATCACAACATTTTATTTATTACTTTCACAATATTTGTTTGCTGATCATATTAATTAGGAGACATTCTGATAAGAAAAATAAATGACTGTTTTAATAAATATATTACCTTTATTAAAAATATTCAAGGGAATGTAATAATATTTATATAAATTTTGTTCAAAAAATATGCCAATTTGAAAATATAAAAAGTTCATGAATTATCTACAAATCAATTGAAACAATCCATTTATTCAAAATTTAACTAATCATTACATTTATAGTTCTTCACGCATATATTTTGGTTTTAATTCTTCTATACGTTTAATATAATCTGATTTTTCAATACATCCTTCACATGATTCATCCCAATCCATAAGTATTTTCTTAAGTTCTCGTACTTTAATCTTCTTCAGATCCACTGTAGCTAGATCAATTTGTACATCTGAAAATAAATATTCTACTTAGTATATATATATATATATATATATATATATATATATATATATATATTATAGAATTTTGTGATATGAGTGGAACAAATATTAAATGTTAAATATGAACAATACAACACTCAGATTTTTAACTTTATTTGGTAATTAATTGTGTGTTAAAAATCTGAATTTTGTATTGTTCATATTCAATATTTAATATATATATATATATATATATATATATATATATATATATATATATATATTAGGGTGGTCCTTAAAATAGTCATTTTCGAATTTCCTTGCTCCCAGGGGCGCAAATGGTTCCAAATAGATAAAAAACAATTCTCTGAAAATTTTAGCTCTTAATATTAACGTTTAGATAGAGCGCAATTCAATCAAAGTTTTGTATGGAAAGAGCATGGAAAATTTTTCAAAAATTTTAAAAATGTTTTTTAAATGTAATTTAGCGAACAAATGAATGAATAAAACTCATTCATTTGTCACTAAGTTACACCTAAAACATTTTTTTTTAATTTTCAAAAATTTTTCCATGCTCTTTCCATACAAACTTTGATTGAATTGCGCTCTATCTAAACGTTAATATTAAGAGCTAAAACTTTCAGAGAATTGTTTTTTATCAATTTGGAACCATTTGAGCCCCTGGGAGCAAGGAAATTCGAAAATGACCATTTTAAGGACCACCCTAATATATATATATAATTCATATTTAAGAGCTAAAAAGCTATAAAAATTTCAATCAATATGATATTTTACCAAATCTTAATTCGCAAATTTGTTGATCTTTTGTCTTTAGTCTTTCACAAATTTTAGTTGCCGGTAAATTATAAGACAAGGGCCTAGATAATTCTGTCAAAATTCCAGTTGCCGACTCAGGTAGACCTCCTAAATAGTAACACTAAAATAACAATAATAGTTAATATTATCAGAAAACATTTTAATGCACATTTATTAATACATAACTTTCCATTAGTAAAAAAACTGCAGGTTTATTCATATTTTGTTAATTTGTACAAATAAAACATTGTTAATTGATGATTGAAGGAAAAAAAGATAATAAAAATGTTTTATAAATATTAATAAATAAATATAATCTTTATTGAGCAAACTAAAATATTTTTATTAATAATACCAAAAACGAATAATTTGTCATAAAACACTTACAAATCGATTTTCTTTATTTTTAGTTCCTTTGCAAAATTGTTTAAACTCTTCTTCAATAAGCTTTGTGTCTTTTTTGGATGATTCTGGCAGTGCTTTAGAAAATTTTTCTATCGTTTTAATGCACACTGAAAATATAGGTAAGCAAACTATAATATAAATACATTTTTACCAATTTATTTACAATAAATTCTAGAACAAGTAATGAAAATGGAACAAATAAAACATTTATATCTAACCTATACAAAAGTATTACCCACCGTCACATTCACCGGGTTTCAATGAATAACAACAACACACGCAAATAAAGCACATCAGTGCTAAATACAAATATTTACTTGACATTTTTTGCAACTTTACAAATTATAATAATTTTATATGACATAAAATTCCTAAATTGTCTGACGTTACCAAGTCATATATATCCTACGTTTACATTTTATACTTCCATATATTACCAGTAATTGTATAATTAGACGACCAGCTTCCTGTGATTTTTAGATTAAGATAACAACTTTATGTTACCTTGTATCCATCTGTAGGTACCTTATGTAATTATTATGTAGCAATTTTACTCTGTAGCCATCTGTAGTTACCTTATGAAACTTACTTTCTTTGTAAAAATATGCTTTGTAAAAATATGTTTGTGATATATTTGAAAATATATTTTGTGCATTGTATGTTTTGTTCTCATTTCCAATATAAGAAATTATTTAGGTTTTCTTATACTGAATTGCGTATGCAAACCACATCTAAGAATAATACCAGCGGTTAATTTATATATTGTACAAGTGCTGTCATATCGCTGCATAAACTAAAATGGAGGTAACGTCAAATGGCCAGACATAGCGATCTATTTATGCTTATTTATCTATGGTGTTTTCGATCTATTTTTTATGATTTCACATGATTATGTTGCAAACATGTTTCGGTACACTTTGCGCAATGTGATGCCGTGATGCCACAATTCTAATGCTTATTTATCTATGCTAATGCCATTCAAAAACAAAATTGATACTTTAGGCAGCAGATGGAACCACAAACATAATAATATTTAATTTGTGTTGAAAGTTGAAATTACAAAAACTTGCCATTAGTTGATAGTTACCGCAAAAATGGCTGATGAGCAGGTAAATTTAATTGTAAATTAATGCAGAATAAACTTTTAGCTGACTTTCATTGATTTTTACTTAATGCTCTTCATCCAATGAATATATTTTGTCCGAGGCATCAGATGCGTTAACTAATTATTATTACAAATTTTCCTCACTTAATTTTTTGTGGATAATATTTGTTCAATATCAATATTGAATATTGAATATATCATATGTTTGATAAATAAATAGAATATTGAGTTACAAATATTTATGCTTAAAAATTAATTTTGTTTTTAATTTAATTGTATATAGTATGTATGTAAACAAGAAATACACTGAATAAATTTTATTATAATAGAAAATTTGTTGCAGGAAGTCCAACAATTAGAATTGCTGTGTAAACAGCTTTATGAGTCACAGGATTCTACTGTTCGAACTGATGCTGAAAAGGCATTAGTTATATTTCAGGTATATCTTTTTTAATTTATATGTATAAATTAATTGGCCTTGTAATATTGTATAATTTTCTTTTTACTTACCATTATTTTATATTTGTAGGAGGGACCCAATACTTTGGCTAAATGTCAACTACTCTTGGATCGTGGTGATTCATGCTATGCTCAACTTTTAGCTGCAACTACCTTAACTAAATTGGTATCTCGTAGTGCACAAGGATTAAGTTTGCAGCAGAGACTTGATATAAGGTTTTTTAGAATAAAATATTTATTAAGAAATAAATATATCCTCTGATTTTTTAGGAATTATGTACTCAATTACTTAGCAACACGGCCGAAGTTACAAAGCTTTGTAATTCAAGCACTTGTAACTTTATTTGCTAGAATTAGTAAACTTGGTTGGTTTGATAGTTACAAAGAAGAGTTTGTGTTTAGAAATGTTGTTGCTAATGTTACTAGTTTTTTACAGGTTTGTTTATAAACATATTGTATGGTTTATGTCATTATTTATTTTGCCTACTCACTTCTTGCATTTTAGGGCTCTGTAGAACATTGTATGATAGGAGTACAGTTATTGTCCGAATTAACAAGTGAAATGAATCAAATATCAGATGCGGATGCAAATAGATCTCTAACTAAACATAGAAAGATTGCAAGTTCATTTCGTGATTCCCAACTCTTTGAAATGTTTCGACTAGCTTGCTCTTTATTGGGCAATGCTCTTGAAAATCGCGATGAGCTGAATTATAATCATGAAAAACAATATAGGTTAATAAATTATTACTTTGCACTAAGATTAGACAGTGATGTGTTTGTGTGAGTGCAGTGCAACTTATATATGTGTGTCTATATATCACTGTGGTTGTAATAGGAATGTAAAACCCATATGCATTCTATAAATCATGTATGCAGTAAATAGGTAAAACTTTTCATTAAAGAATAATAAGAATTAATAAGATAGAGGATATACAATTGTGAAATAAATCTACAAAATTTTACATCTGAAATGTATAAAATGTGTTTATCTGAAGAATTAGGTTTGTCTTTTATTTTTTTACAATTGTAAAATTCAAATTTACACATTGTAAATTCAGTTAGAAATAGTTTGTTAGCAAACTATCAAATAAATTATTTTTATGCATGATCGAGTAGAAATTCTTTATTGAATTTGACATATAATTCACCCTGTTTATTCAGCAGTTTTATTTTTACAAATTATGTAATTTATTTCACAATAATTGTCCTTATTTACTCTGATTAATTTAAATTATGTGGTAAGATTACTACTCGATTTGTCAATTCCTAATCTGATCACTATTTGTGTCAAGTAGTTTTTTACAGTAGTTAACTGATAAATATGATACTGACTGTAGTATTGTTGCTTTGCTTATTTTGTAGTAATGCTTTGACTTATTTTAAAATAGTAACTATTGTGGTTACATCATGCATGTATTTGTTTCATATATTAAATTTTATGTCATTATTTTGCTTGTTGATAATGAAACTATGATTGCTTATTCTTATTAAACCTGGTTAACATATTTAAGATCTTTAAGTTATTGTTATAGAATGGGATAGTATTTAACTAATATTCATTACAGTAGAACTATCCATACATCTTAATTTTTATAGTATTACATTTCAAGTTTAATGTATATTCATGTGAAATAATATTGATTGAAAGTACATTATCGGTTGTTGACTATAAAATGCTTATTTTTTATATTCAACAAATATCATTCTAATGAAGCAATAATATTCTTGCCTATAACGTCTCGACCGTTACAGTTAAAAAGTAATTAGTCCTACTAATTATAAGCCAAATATCGTAAACTATAAATACATAGTATTAAAGTATTTTTATTGTATTACGAGAATTTCTATACAATTGATGTTTATTTGACATATCTTATGTTTGTTAATGTTATTTTAAAAACTTACTTTTTGTAAGAAGTTTGATAGATTTACTTCATATTGTTTTTATAAGTGTATCAAAATATTATGTATATCATGATAGAAAAAGATAAATCTGATACTGATGTTAACAATTAATATAAATTTAAGAATGTTTATTTGAAGAATTTGGAGACCTGCTATCTAGATTATTGAATTACTATCCATACACTACAATATCATTTTTTTCTATATAGTAAAATAATAATTACAAACGCTTAAGTCAAACATAATTTGCAATTAACTGCTACAAAATTATTGATTAATGAAAACTCATTATAGCTGTATTGCACTTGAATGAATGTTTAAATATGTGTATGTATATAAATACATATATTTGTTTATATTAAGAAACACTACATTCTTTACACTATTTTCGATAAATTATTACTGTAACTATAAAATTATATCAAGTGTATATATATATATATATATATATATATACATGAGTTAATTAAACAAGCTTTATCTTGGAAAAGATTAATTGATACAGCATTTTTGCAACATTTCAACGTTATTAAAAAAATAGTGTAAAACAAGAATGTAGTGTGTGTGTGTGTATATATGTGTATGTATATATATATATATATATATATATATGTGTATATATATATATATATATATATATACATTTATATGGATGTGGCTGTTTATTTATGATGATATATTGTTTATGTGTATATTTGCAACAAAGTTATATTTATATTGTTATATAATCAAATAATTAAATATTATAATTTTGCAGGCTTATGACTCAATTACTACATTTAGCCCAAAATTGTTTAAATTTTGATTTCATAGGAACCTCTACAGATGAATCTTCAGATGATCTTTGCACTGTTCAGGTAAAGAATTCTAGTATATTCTCAGATGTATGTATGTATATATATATATATTATATATATATATATATATATAATTGTGTTTGTATAATAAACAATCTAGTTGCTAGGTTTTAGAATTTTTTAAGCATTATTTGACGCAAAGCTATTTTTCAGATTCCAACTAGTTGGAGGCCGGCTTTTTTGGATTTTACCACCTTAAAATTATTTTTCGATTTGTATCGTACTTTACCAACTACTTTGAGCACTATGGCGCTTTCTTGTTTGGTTCAAATTGCCTCAGTTCGTAGATCATTATTTTCCAATAATGAAAGATCAAAATTTTTAACTCATCTAGTTAATGGCGTGAAGCACATACTTCAAAATCCACAGGTATTGTTACTTTTTCGCATATTCATTGTATTGTTTAATTAATTACATTAAATAATGAAAATGAATATTTATCATCATTGCCAAGTTAGTTGAATTGCTATAACACATTCTTTATAATTATTTTTTTTACAACAAATATAATAAGTAAAGTTATTTTTGATGATAGTATTTTAGTTTTTAGGGGTGTAGTATGCTATTATTGCATAATTATGTTATAGGGCTTAAGCGATCCTGGGAATTATCACGAATTTTGTAGACTTCTTGCACGCCTGAAAAGTAATTACCAACTTGGTGAATTAGTAATGGTTGAGAATTACCCTGAAGCAATTCAACTTATTGCCGAATTCACAGTCCAGAGCCTGCAGGTAATATTACAGTAATGTGTGTGTAATATATCTGTAAATCATTAATTTAATTTATTTTAGATGTGGCAGTTTGCACCAAACAGTGTCCATTACTTGCTGTCATTATGGCAACGCATGGTAGCTAGTGTTCCATATGTAAAAGCTACTGAACCTCATTTATTAGATACATACACACCAGAAGTAACAAATGCTTACATCACATCCAGATTGGAAAGTGTTGCAGTTGTTGTAAGGTATTTTAAAAGCTAATTTTATTTTGTGCTTATTGTGAATTTCATATTATTTTATTTCAATAGGGAAGGTTTAGAAGATCCTTTGGATGATTTGGGCATGGTGCGACAACAATTAGAACAGTTATCTATAATTGGCCGTTGTGAATACCAAAAGACATGCTCATTATTAGTTCAGTTGTTTGATCAATCTGCAAGAACTTATCAAGAACTTTTGACTAATCCAGCCCCTGCTCAAATGGATGTTCTTATACAAGAAGGTATATACATTTTGTGTATGTATCTATATGTATGCATATACATATTCAATTTATTGTAGGAAAGCTGACGTGGCTAGTTTACATAATTGGAGCATCTGTTGGGGGTAGAGTTGCCTTTAATACCGCCGAAGAACATGATGCGATGGATGGTGAGCTTGTCTGTAGGGTAAGATTACTCAAATGTTTTGTTTAAAGAGTATATACATGTATATAATATTATAATATTATTGTTAGGGAATAATAAATTTAACTAGTTGGTATTTTGCCTTGAGGCAAGTTACATGAACTTCCCAATATATGTAAATAATTGACTTAATATATAAATAATAAATTAATTTATGAGTGATTCAAAGTATTCCGAATGGATTTATTACACATATTTTAAAACAAACGAACACGTTAACTTGGAGTATTTTCTAAAAGCACAAATCAATAATTTTTATAATTGAACCAGTTCCCATGGGACTTTAATGGTTTAGTATGTTCATTAAGACTAAGTACGCTATTGTTATACCAAGTAAATCGTCTAATTTTAATTCTAACAAAAGTCAAAAAAACTACCCATTTTCTCAAACTTTGATTTTATAAAATGAAACTACTTGTTGTAAGGCCTTAATATTTCAGTAAGTTCTATAAGACCATGATATATATCGCCAAAAAAAGTTCCATAAAAATCGGCTTAAATTTCTTTTCCACGGCTTGGCAGATCGTCGCACAAAACTGACAAACGGTAGTCCTCATTGAGATATATCAAATGGCTTTTAAATTTCTGAAATCGGTCCAGGCGTATTTTCTCCTTCGGTAAGTTAATACTTCTCCTTCGGTAAGTTAATAATACAAAGAATTATTGCTATACGTACTTAATTCGTTTTGGAAGAAAGTTTCTTATATGAAAAGTTTTCTATACGTCATGAGTTTTTCCATACAAATACATGAAAATAAAATTAATTTGTTGTGTTCTTTGAAATATGTTCATAAAAAATAACATATATTTTACACATAATATATTTAAAGATTATAAGATATTTAAAAAAATATTTTTATTTCTTAAGGCCTTCCACAAATGATTGGCAAGCTTATCATTGTACAAATTTTTGATCTTCTTAGCCTTATGTTCAAAAAGTAAACATTTACTAATTTTTGCACTACTTTCCATTTGACCAAAAAGTCCTTTGGACTTTACGCACTAGAAATCTGCTGACTAGTCTTTTCTTCTTTGGTTTTTGATCATCCACTTTCAAAATCTACTCAAGATCTTTGGGGTGTGAATGTGAAGTACCCAATAACGAGATCATTGAAGATCACTCTTTAAATTAATTTGAGCAACATATGTTGAGTATGTTGTGTCGCGAGCGAAAAAAAAGTTTGTTATGCGCTACGTCTATTGTTCGAGGCGTACGTCGTGAGGGGTATCGCTATATGTATATAGATATGTATGTGGTATATGAAAGTAAAATCCAAATTTATTAGCCATAGCTGGAAATTAATTTAAATGTGTACAAAATAGTGTTAAAAATCATCTAATAATAGTAATTGTATCAAATAATGTATCAAGTTCTATTTGATCTGATTTTATCTTTAAAGCAGTGTGTTATATTGACATTTTGTAAAAAAAATTGCAGGTGTTACAACTGATGAATCTAACGGATTCACGTTTATCGCAAGGTGGCTGTGAAAAATTGGAATTAGCAATGATGAGTTTTTTTGAGAAGTTCTGTAAAATATATGTAGGTGATCAAGTACAAAAAAATTCTAAAGTATATCGCCGATTATCTGAGGTGTTAGGTTTATCTGATGATGCTATGGTTTTGTCCGTATTTATAAGAAAAATGTTGGTATTAAATAAGATGTGATTAATTATTAGAACAGTTTTAATATGAAATATGATAAATCTAAACTAATTATTTTTTAGTATAACTAATTTAAAATACTGGGGGCGAAGTGAACAAATTATTAGTAAAACATTGAATTTGCTGAATGATCTATCTGTCGGATATAGTTGTGCAAGGAAATTAGTGAAGTTGGAAGAAGTACAGTTTATTTTAAATAATCATACGGTAATTACATTATTTCTATTTTTGTCATTTATAGTGCATGATTTTTATTAATTGCTTTATTTAGAGTGAACATTTTCCTTTCCTTGGTGGAAGTGTTGCAGTTAGCGAAATGAGATGCCGAAGTATGTTTTACACTTCTTTAGGACGTTTGCTTATGGTTGATTTAGGCGAGGAGGAAGATCGTTTTTTATCTTTCATGGTGCCTTTGACAGGTTACTTTGTAGTTGCTACTTGAATGTTGTACTTTTAATAAAATTGAATATAGATTTATTATTATTTTAACTTTCTTTTTTGAACAGCATCTTTTGAGAGTATTGCCACGCACATGACTCAAGGGGATGCTATTTATGCTGCCGAGAATACCAAAAAAGTATTAATAGGGTTAGCACGTGACTTGCGAGGACTTGCTTTTGCGTTTAATACTAAATCTACCTATATGATGTTTTTTGATTGGATGTATCCTTAAAAAAAATTACCTGTATATATATATATATATATATATATATATATATATATATATGAGTGAGTTCTTGAGGACGATACATCAAACAAAGAAAAGCCAAAGATTTATAAAATAATCTTTATTTCCAAACGTTTCGACATTCAATTTAATGTCATCATCAGTGGATATTACGTTGGTTAGTTACATATAGAGAAGTGTACACAGCACTAAAGATTTGGCACTAACATTTATACAACTAACTTGTCAGCACTATGCATTTTTTTATATAATTTTTTTGTATGATGTAAACAGAAAAATGATAGTTTTATTGAACAATAAAACTTTCAACAAACAATAAAAACTTTTGTTCAATAAAACTATCATTTTTCTGTTTACATCATACAAAAAAATTATATAAAAAAATGCATAGTGCTGACAAGTTAGTTGTATAAATGTTAGTGCCAAATCTTTAGTGCTGTGTACACTTCTCTATATGTAACTAACCAACGTAATATCCACTGATGATGACATTAAATTGAATGTCGAAACGTTTGGAAATAAAGATTATTTTATAAATCTTTGGCTTTTCTTTGTTTGATGTATCGCCCTCAAGAACTCACTCATATATTTCAACATCAAAATTAACTACTAAATCATATATATATATATATATATATATATATATATATATAATAACCAGGCATAACTTCAATAAAAAACATAATTTTTTTTTTAAATTTATTCTAAATTTTTTTTTTTACATTTATTCTAATTAATTCTAGCCTTCATTTAGTGGTTTACATTGTATAATGAATATTTCATTTTATAATTTCCTATTCACTGCCTTAGATATCCTAGATATACTTCTATATTATTAAGTGCAATTGAAATTTGGTGTCATGATGCAAATGTTACGACACCAATACTTAAATTATTTGCTGAATTGGTTCAAAACCGGTCACAAAGATTACAATTTGATGTTTCTTCTCCCAATGGTATACTTTTATTTAGAGAAGCTAGCAAAGTCATATGTGGTTATGGTAAGTTTAAATATAATTAGTTTAATATTAATAATTATTAATGATTTTTAGGAATGTGTATAGGTATATTCTTTTATAGCAGAAACAGTGGATTTAATTTAAGTTATTTGAGTATTTCCTTAAAAAGAAGTTAATTTGAATGTGCTCAATGATAATAATTTTTTGCTAGTCGTTTATCATATAATTAGCATTCATGAGTTTTTAATTGAATTAGAATTATTTGACAAACTTTAGAAAGCAAGTCATTAAAAAAATAAAATCATCGATCATCATAGATAATTATTTAGTTACTATTATTGCAGGAAGTAGAATTCTTACTCTAGATGTACCTAAAGAGCAAATGTACCCATTAAAGTTGAAAGGTATATCAGTCTGTTTCTCAATGCTCAAAGCAGCTCTATGTGGAAGCTATGTCAATTTTGGAGTGTTCAGGCTATATGGAGATGATGCTTTAGATAATGCATTAAACATATTTATAAAGCTTCTTTTATCAATACCTCAATCAGACTTATTAGTGAGTAGTAACAATATAATATACCAATAATATGCATATTTAATGAACATATTTTTCAGGAATATCCTAAATTATCACAAACATATTATGTTTTGTTAGAATGTCTTGCACAGGATCATATGTCATTCCTATCTACATTAGAACCTCAAGTTTTCTTATATATTCTGGGCAGTATTTCGGAAGGATTGACAGCTCTAGGTCAGCATATTACATTGTACAGCAACTATACAGGTTGGAGGTGCAAATACGGACTGCAAAATATGTTTTTATTTTTATATTGGATACAAATCATATCATCTTTCTAATAAAACTTGCATTATGTATTTATATTCTACATACACAGATATATATATATATATATATATATATATATATATATATATATATATATATATATTATGTGCTTATAACTACATGGTGCTAGTTACAGCATTTGTATTTGCATATAACAAAAATGCTTAATTTTAACATTCAGCTCTTTTATATCACTTAATATGTGTTATGCATATGTTCATGCTTTTAAAGTATTTATATTTCTGACCTGCATTGTTTTCTGTTAAATCTGGCTTTTTCAGACAAGTTGCAGCAATTTATTTTTACAAAAAGTTCAGATGATGAGAAGCTTATGACAGTGCTATATGATCTAACAAATTAGATTATTGGTTACAGCTCTGTAAAATAGTTCTCTGATTACTGGGTTCTTATTGAATACAATATATATATATATATATATATATATATATATATATATATATATATATATATATATATATATATATATATATATATATATATATATTAGAGCGGTCCTTGATATGGACTTTTTCAAATTTCCTTGCTCCCAAGGTTTCAAATGGTTCCAAATTGATAAAAAACAATTCTCTGAAAGTTTCAGCTCTTAATATTGTCTTTTAGATAGTGCAATTCAATCAAAGTTTTGTATGGAAATAGAATGAAAAAAATTTCAAAAATCTTCAAGAGTGTAGAATTTTCAATAAAAAATGACACGAAATTTCACCCAGGGAGCAAGGAAATTCAAAAATGTCTATATTAAGGACCACCCTGAATATATATATATATATATATATATATATATATATATGTGTGTGTGTGTCTTTATATATGTTTTTATACATTAATATGTTTGCAGTCCTTTTTGAGTTGCTTTGAAAGATATTCATAGTTTATTTTTTAACTATATATATATATATATATATATATATATATATATATATACATATATACATATATACATACATACATATGACATAAATTTATTGATAGCAATTGTAATTATATTTTACAGATACTTTAATATGTACCGGTTGCTGTGCAACATTGGATTTTATTGTTACTTTTCTGTTCAAACAACTTACAATGAAAGGTATGTCATCACAAACCAAAGTAATTCAATATTGGCATAATAAAAGTGCTTATCTATATCTTATTAGACTACAAGTCATGTTGTAGGAATCATTGAACTGTTTAATTAAAACCAAGAAAGTTAATATATTATTTTCAAACAAGTTTATTCCTTCAAAATTAAATATATTTGGTATTCATAAAATATAATATTTTATTATACATTTCAACCCAAAATCTGTATATAATCATTTTGATTTAGATTTAAGTAATCAATTAAATCTTCATAAGGTAGGTTTAACATTAAACATCTATTTTTAAGTTATAAGAATAGTTTTATTAAAATTTGCTATGAAATTTCAGCATGCGCCTTTCCTAATAAGAAGAAACGAATTGCAGAAAATACTTTTTTGAAGGTAACAAAAGTTTTATCACCTTTTGTTTTGTTAATATGTATGCACTACTGAATTAAGTAGTTCTCATTCATATAGTATGATAAATATTATGTATTATTATCACAGTTTTTATAGTCATCAGCTTGCACTTTTTTTGTTTGCAATGCTATTACATTTAACATGTATTTCATTTCTTATTTAGGTTTTAGAAATGCATCCGGACATATTACGCCAGATTTTATCTACTGTATTACATATTATTATGTTTGAGGATTGTCGGAATCAGTGGTCAATGTCACGTCCTTTACTTGGGTTAATACTTCTTAACGAGGATTTCTTTAATGAAATGCGAGCAAATTTGATTGCCCAACAGCCTAGAGATAAGCAAGCTGCCATGGCACAGTGGTTTGATAATTTGATGGAGGGGATTGAAAGGAATTTATTGACTAAAAATAGAGATAGGTATTACTTTTTTCTATATTTTTTTTATTTTTGTATTTACCAATCTGACCTTTAGCCATGATATGTTTTTTAAAAACTACCCTGCAAATACACTACCCTGCAAATGTTTGGACTCACTTAGGGAAAATCATTGTCTTTTTTATTCATCACTTTATTCACCATTCTCAGACAGTTTAATGTAACAGATTTGCTGAGAATTACATTAAATTTATGAGTTAAAAACATTTACATGTGATATTTTTTAATTTTTGTGGAAAAAACGAAAAAAATCAATCCAGCCGTTTTTCATCAATGAGTTGGCCTTTCGATTTGAAGTCATTGACGCGCATTTTTAAATGATGATGCATCAAGTAAAAGTTAATTTGAGTTCAAAAAAATAGTTAATGTAATTCAAAGTGATAGTTTGTAACATTGTACATTTTATAAGATTTCGAAAATTAACAGAAATATCTACAATAAATAAATGAGAATTTAAAGAAACCGCTCAAAAATCATTCTTAAAATGTTTTTCTATATCAATATGTACATTAAACTGTCTAAGGAGAGCTATAAATAAAGTGATGAATAAAAAAGACAATGATTTTCCTAAGTGAGTCCAAACTTTTGCAGGGTATTTTTTAATTTTTTAATTTTTTTGTACTAAATATAATTTTATTTAAATATGAATTGTAAACTTTTCAAAATTTAATTAATTAATTAAGTTGTAATAATCAAAAATTTTTTTTTACTATTTAATCTTGTTTTTACTATGTTATTTGATATTTTATTTTGTCATTTCAGGTTTACTCAGAATTTATCAATGTTTAGACGTGATATTAATGATTCCTTGAAAGGTCCAAATATAAATTCAAGTGTGAGTGACATGATGACATCTTAGCTAAAATGTAAAAGTATATTAAAAACAGTTGATGTTTTGTGTACAATGTAGTGATTTATTTTTAATGATATTTATATATGATATGAAATATAAAAAAAAAACCAAACAAATATTTATATATATAATGAACATTCGTAACATGTATATGTATATGTATGTATATATATATATGTATACATACATCTATACACTATTGAAAAATTTTCTATGAAAATTTGCCAACAATGTGAATACTTAGATTATATTTTAATTTGATTGTTAAATATTATGAAACATTGTTTATTCAATTTTTTATATATAGCCAGTTTCTTTTAAATTATTTTTATGTAATATATATAAAAATAATGTTAAACATTACTTGCATTTGTAAAAAGATAATATAATAAAATGTGCTAAGTTTCACTTAGCGTCCGGTTATCTGAAGATCATTCTGATGTAGTTCAAATAATTGTGTATATACTTATTAAATAAAATTTGTATATATGATATTAAATTTTATCCCCTATTTAGTTTTTTCGATATTACATTTTATGTAATAAGTTGCATTAAAACTCCAAAAATTTAAAACTAAATTGATCATGCAAATTAATAAAGTTTATAAAATTCATTTATTATTTTAATAAAACTGGTATTATTTGATGTGTATTCAAAGGAGATTTTAAGATTGACTACATCTCACTAGAATAAGACATGGGATTGTTATCATAATTACCATATATGAAAAATAAGCAAATGTATCTATAACTTTGTGCAGCACAAAGTATATATTTTGAAGTTATGAGTTATTTTGAGTTTCTAAAGTACCTAATATAAAAATTGGTTCACATAGTACTATTTATGTGACTTAAAAAAAAACACCTCAAATTTATGTGAAATTGATAAGATTTTTAATAATTTAGTTTTGTTTATTTTTGCTATGTTTGTAATTGTAATGTTAACATTTAAATGTTACAAATAATGATACTTTTATTCCTTATGAATTATGAAAAATGCATTACAATCGCAACACATCAGCGAAAATCTTAATAATACAAGTTTTTATTTTAAAAGTAATAGATAATCATAAATTCAAGAACATACTTCAGTTAATTATATGTCATCAATAATTGAACTGTCATATATCATTTCAGCACCCAAAATCCCTATCATAAATTGCTTATCTTCATTAACGTATACATATTGGTCATTTGTATTGACCATTACGTATTCATGAGTATATAAATCGTCTTCTATTGATTCGTACTCTGAATAAGATGAACTAACAGAGTCCTCAAAATCATATTTGTCCTTTTCCAATTTTTCATCATGGGGTTTATATTGACTATTGTTTGCGGTATTAGGAGATTTGTTGTTTTTCGCTGGCGGACATTTATTGTTCTCAGTATTAGGATAAGTTTCTTCTATATGTGGTCTAGAGTTATTAAAATTGTCTGGTTCTGTGCCATTTAAAACATCTTTCTTTGCATTATTTTCATTACTATTTTCACCGTCACCGGATGAATTTTCGCCGGAACCGCTTTCATCTACAGAAATGTCTACTAGTACATTGCCATTACCTAAATTTATTTTTCTGGTCTTTAACATACTTTTTAAATTATTCATGGCTGAAAACTTATTTAGCGGTTTTGTTTGTTTCGAAATAGATTCCAAATAAACCCTATTAGGATCATTATCATCTGGCGATTCATTTGCTGAAACAGAATGTAAATCTTTGATAAAAATTAAGAACATTAAATTATTTTATTTAAACATTAAATTATATATATATATATATATATATATATATATATATATATTAAGGCGGGTCGATTTGAAGGTCACTTAGACACATGTGATTTTCGGATTCTAGGGATCAAAATAAGAAAATTTGCTGAAAAAACTATACCCCAAAAATGAATTCTGACATCCTGTGCATTGACCGAAAGATAAGGGATAAATGTTCAATAATCTCTCAAGGGGTGAACCACGGGCATGGGCGGATCGGCCTTAAGTTAGTGGGGATCGGCCATACATTTGGACGCGATTGGAGCACTCTAAATGGGTCAAAATAGAAATTTTCGAATTTAAACCCTTATTTTTGAGTCATTGCACGGGACATCAGATTTTATTTTAGAGATATGGTTTCTTCAGTAATATGTGCCTATAGGAAAATCGACTCATGAAAATCGACCTGCCCTAATATATATATATATATATATATATATATATATATATATATATATATATATGTATATATATTTAAATTTTCTGTAATAAAAATGCTTAATTAACTTCCCGTAGGGCAAGTTATAGTAATCGCAAAAAAATCGAAAATGAAAATTTTTGCATTTCTCGACGTTTCAAAGGTTTCTGAATATTTTGGCATACCTTAGAAAAAATGGATGTATGTGTGTGTGTGTGTGTGTGTGTGCGTGTGTGTGTGTATGTATGTGCGGATACAAATTTTCGTCGACGATTTCGGGAACACCGATCAACCGATTTGAATAATTCAAAAAACATTCGATTCGTATTGATAAGGAGACGTGCTGATTAGTTTTTGGCAAAGTCAGGTCTAGCCGTTCCGAAGATACGGGGCAAAAAGTGCCGAAAACGGTAACTCAGTTTTTAAGAGAACGGAGCGTCCGATTTTATTAATTCAAAAAACATTTCACTTGTAGTGACAAGGTGAAGAACCGATCAAATTTTCATAAAGGCAGGTCTAGCGGTTTCGGAGATCTAATGAAAAAAGTGAAAAAAATGCCATTTGGCGGTCAAAAATTATCATTAGACATATGCACATCAAATTATCAGATATTTTATAGAGATTTTAACAATAAGTATAATTTTGGAACTTCTGGAACTTCCCGTACCAAAAATTATTATTTTTTTTAAAAACGATTTACATTTTTGAAAAAAAAATTACTTCGAAAAAATAAGATTTTTGAGAAACTATAAATTTGACAAAAAATTACTTTTTTTTGAAAAAAAAAAAATGAAAAAAAAATTATTAAAAATTTTTTTTTTAAATCTTTTTTTTTTGAAAAAAAAATGTTTTCTTTATTTTGACATATGTTGGAAGATCTGAACTTTTTTTCAAAGCAATCGTACTGCTTTAAATGCATAGAGACAAAATATAAAGCGCGTAAGCGCCGCGTCGCTGTCTAACGAGTAAACATTGGTACGGAACCCATAGGAATGTAAACAAAATTTATACTTATTGTTAAAATCTCTATAAAATATCTGATAATTTGATGTGCATATGTCTAATGATCATTTTTGACCGCCAAATGGCATTTTTTTTTACTTTTTTCGTTATATCTCCGAAACCGCTAAACCTGCCCTTATAAAAATTTGATCAAATCCTCATCTTGTCAATACAAGTAAAATGTTTTTTGAATTATTAAAAGCGGACGCTCCGTTCTATTAAAAACTGAGGTACCGTTTTTGGCACTTTTTGCCCCATATCTTCGGAACGGCTAGACCTACCTCCGCCAAAAACTAATCAGCACGTCTCCTTATCAATACGGATCGAATGTTTTTTAAATTATTTAAATTGCTTCATCCGTGTTCCCGAAATCGTCGACGAAAATTTGTATCCGCACGCACATACATACTACGCACACACACACACACACACACATACATCCATTTTTTCTAAGGTATGCCAAAATATTCAGAAACCTCTGAAACGTAAAGATATATAAAAATTTTCATTTCCGATTTTTTTGCGATTACTATAACTTACCCTACGGGAAGTTAAAAAAAGCATCGAAAGGCGTCGAGATAAATATAGAGTCTTTCAAGTTCAGAAAAACAAAATCTAAATAACATTAGCTGAGAGCAAAAGTCCGGCACGCTCGGGACCGGCGGAAGTACGGCACTCTAGAAAATTCTGGACTTTCAGACGGTAATTATAATAACAATTAAAACGGTTAATTTGTCTTTGTTTTTTCATGTCGATCGCTAACTAGATATATATTTTTTAAAATGCGCTATAGTAATAACAGTAACGCATTTAAAAATGTATATAGTGTACATTGTACAACGATTCCCGGCATTATGTCACGAGCCAAATTTTATCACGGAATTAGGGACAAACTAGTGGTTCATCAAAATACCGATTATTAAATTAAAATCTACGCCGCAAAATTTTAGTTCATAATGATCTTATAAGTTGAATTTATAGAATAGAATAGTTTTAGCTCGTTCACTTTCCTACTTTTTTACAAATTATTTTTAAACTCAAACGTTCCTTAACATCCCGTAATATGGTACATTTACCTTACATTGGCATGTCACTGATTCCACTGTTTATATATATATACACGCGACACATAACATATATAACACACGCATATAAATATATACATATATACATAATATAATATTTTTACACATAATATAATATTTTTGTACTGTGAGGACATCTTTTATTGATCATTTTTATTGATTTTTTTTATTTTACCTCGAGCAGCTGGTCGAAAGTTTTCAGAATGACCCTTGCTCAGCGACTTTGCTAATACCACGTGTTCAAATAACTGCAAATAATTTAATATCTTTTGATAATTAAATTGTTTATACAGACATTATTATAACATTATTAAATTACCAACACTATTATTAAAAGTTTAAACATAACAGGAATTTATTTGTGGAGTAACAATAAATGTCAATGATATTCTTTGTGAAAAGTAATAAATTTTGTTAAAATATAGTTAAAAGTATAAATAAAATGCATGAACATTTTATCATTTTGAATTATACGAATTCGAATTCGATTGCAATAAAATAATTATTTGAATGCTTTGCCTTATCAAACTGTAACGCTAGAGATAGTTTCAAGCTATTAAAACTTTTATGTGATTATTTATTACAAGGAATATGGCTGAATACGAAATACATTTTGGCTTTCAGATATAATATTTTACAGAGATTACACTGTGAATAATCACCAGCAGGCTTGCAATGACAAATTATATTAAAGACTCGTAAACTAAACAAATAGTGCTCTCAACCAAAACTTCTAGTAATGAGGAGACGTGCTAATTGTTATTGGCAAAGATAGCGGTCCAGTAGTTTCGGAGATCGAGAAATCGAGCTTTTGAAAACACGGAGTATCCAA